AATACCCCTTCCATCACAACAACATAAACATGATAAGGCTAAAATAATGATTTCTCTTTAGCTTTACGATTGCTATAACATGACAATAATAAAGACAGCCTTTTCCCTTTTTTCAACTGGTCTTTTTCAAGTCTATTATTATTGTGTAATTCAACCGTATACCTCACTTAAAAAAATAGAGAAGGGCTCTGTAATTGCAAGAAAAAAAGGTTCTTCATTTAATAATTTGTAGATTGGAACTTCAAGATTTCATTGCTTCATTTGTTTAAAGCCCCAAAGGGTCTTAACTCTGAATAAAATATGAGTTAATGCCTTTTAATATAGCTCCAAATATAAAACTTGTTCTCTTCAAGATTAATCAAATTCTGAGAATGAAGCACACCCCCCAAAATCAAATGAGAGAGAGAGAGAGAGAGGGTAAACAAAAAATGTAGATAGCATGTTCAACAATAAAATAAAAAATAATAACTAAAAATAAATTTGTCAATATTTGATATGTCACCATTAATTTTTTTTTAAAACCAAGGATAGAGCTCTACCAGCACAAATTTTGCAGAATTTTCATGCGTGACAAGGTCTTGAAGCGAGCTATAAAATCATGAAATGTGAGACCAGCTGGCGGAAATCATATCCATCCGAGATGACACTTTAGTAGACATATGCAATGATATAGAGAGCTATTATGCTACTTGAATGTCCCAAAGTCTGATAGTGCTCAGAAACTGTTTGTCATTTACTGCATGGGATCCTTCTAATAAGATAGCAGTATACAGTGCACATCTCTCTACAAATTGGGCATTTCTCATCAGAGTGCCGGCATGAAATTGGGTGACGTATTGGCCCATCCATGAAAGGGCAAGTTCAAGGCCAAAGTAGACAGTCAATATTAAATGTCCTTTAAGAGAGAGAGAGATGAGAGGAAGGACATACATCTCATGAAGTTTACATCCAATGTTGAGCTGAAGCGGGACTACCAAATTTGGCTTTCATAAGGCTCATGCAGTGTATTCAGAAATGGTGGAGTTGGAATTATTATACAGAGAATTTAACAACCTCCAAATTTGGCTCCCAAACATGTGAAATTATTAAATCGGAAAGGAGTCCAGATCAGGGGTTCAAAGGACTTACATAACACAGGTATCATGAAAACAATTTTGTATACACTGCTGCTATAAAGAAGGAGCTAAGATATGTAATCTTTGGAAAGTTGTTCCCAACCCTTTTAAATTGTTAATTCCTTTATTTTGTTCATTATACTTTTTAAACATTTGTCATGTATTTCAAACCTACCCATGTGAATTGTGCATATGAATGGGAATTAAACAGAATTTGTCCTGCAATGGAAGTTTACAAGCAATTCATTTTGTGCATAAGATTGAGTTGACCTCTACAATTCCTGACTCAACTGATCTGGAAAAAGTGACCTGCACAAGTCATATTAGTAAGATGTCCCACTAAGTGTCTTTTTGGAAACTTGCCATTGTCAATGATCTTGGTTTGTTATTCTTTGATCTTCTGTTTGCTTTCTTTTGGCCTACTTCCTTTGCCTTAATTTATGCTTCCTGTCAGGTACTTACAATAAGTTTGGTTCAAAGTAGAGAAAGCACTTGAAGAAAAAAAAACTATGATACTGTAAGCTGTCTTCTCAGCTTTGACTGACAAAGATTGTTGACTTACAATGGTTAATGGATGTAAAAAAAGCTCGACTCTATTCTTTCAACCAACTCCATAACTAAACAAACTTAAAACAAACAACCATTAAGTCTTCACATGGAAGCGTTTATCTCTGCCGTGTGTATTATAACAATAGCTGACATGCGTTTAATTCTCATTCTAAAGTTAAATGTTGTGTGACTGGTCTGCTCTGAGCACCATTATCACAGACCACCAACTCTACCTGAATACAGGAATAAAAATACAGATACTCTATAGCTCTTTGCTTCCCATTGGCATTCACCATAAATGCAACCCCATCAAAGTGTTTTAATATTGGAAGCTGTGTTCTTGGACTTTGCAAAGCTTTACATTTCAAATATCATCAGTGACCCTAAAAAAATGAGGCCAGTGAAAATGGACAGAATGCCAAAAGGAAAAGACACACAATCCAAATTTCTCTGTAATCATTTTCTCTGTTTCACTTTAGAAGGTAAGGTCATCCTACAACGATTTGAACCATATTTGGCAAGCCCTCCCTTTCCCCCTTTCTTTCCCTTCCCTCTCCCTTCCTCCATACGGCCCCTTCCCCTTTTTATACTATATCCTATCCTTTTATTCACATCTAAAATAGCCATAAAGCCACCCTGATATAGGTTTCAGTTTCACTTCAATAATAATTATAAATTCAGAGCCATATTCAAAAGGCTGTATACCTCCCGTACAATTGTGTGTTTAGACTCAAATTTGGGGAAAATGCAACACAAACTACAGGTATTCCATGACGTGACAGACCACATATACATGTAGGCCTTAGTGCGCATGCTTCAATATTTTAATGGTGAACTTGTTCTAGATATTTCCATCATCTAAATTTCAAAGAATGTCAATGATTGAATCCAATGATATCCATTTAATCTGAACTGAAACATGCATTTTCATGCATAATCCTTAAATCTCTTCTATCTTTGTTATTTAGTACTTTTTTTGATAGGTGCAACCAATAAACTGCACGTAGATAAAAACATAAACTTGGGTTCATGAATATTCATGAGGATATGCAGCAAGATGGAAGATGTTTTTGAAAGAGAATACGTACATGAAACGGAAGAGCATGGTCACATCCATCTTGGTAACGTAAGGAAACACCTTGAGGTTAAAAAACAAAGATATCTCGTCCTCTAGGTGTCGCCCTCCTGAGATATCATTAAAACATCTTCTCTCTTTTCATCACCACAAAAAAGTCTTCAGCCTTCAGTTTTTTTCTTTTTCAGTATTTTGTTTCCCATTGAGACATTAATTGTTCCAAGAAAACCATGACGGTTGATATGATAATGAGAGCCTCTTGACTGTTTCTTTGAATAATTAGGCCTCTGGCTTTCAGATATGGACATGTACTTCAAGTCAAGTCATAAGGTGTTGGATTGATGATGAAAACATTTCAATACAATGAAGAGTTTCTTCCATACTTTCAGCAATGAAAACATCATTTTCTTTAGACTCGTTATACATTGCTCCTGTGGAATCAGCAGATAATTCTTTTGAAAAATTTCGCAGTGGAAATTTCATGGTGTTCTAGAGTCTGTTAATAACTGTATAAAATCATTAAAACTGGACTTGAATGTGTGTTCACTCTATGCAGAATTTTTTTTCACATTCATGAGATTAATAAAGAGCACCTTCAAGCTCATTATTTGTAAGGAAATCTTATAAATAATGCCAGCTCTTTGGAAACACTTCCTTCAATTGTTTTCATTGTATTGACTGCACAAAGAACAGCTAATCATTTTCACTTCTTTCAAGAGATTCATTCAAATCAGCTAGCAGCTGTGTTCAAAGATGACATCGCCTCATCACCATGGATACTCAAGAATATGAACGTTCCATCTTCCGAAGTAGATTTCATCCCTTGAATACAGATGATCATCATTTTTTTTGTAATCAAGAGCTACATCATTTCATTGATATGTTATTGAAGTCAAAACTAACCAACGTCAATAGGCATTTCATCACTTTTGATCCATCAGAGAAAAAGGTAGGAAATATCCACGGTATCGCTTCCTGAATCAATTTTTAACCGTTGAAGATTCTGTGAAGGGGGTGTCCCTAGTTCATGCAAATAGAGCCCTACACAATGAAATCATCAAGCATGTAGGTCAAGTTGGTCAACCGACACAAATAATAAATTGCTCCTTTTCTGGTCTTAGGATGAACTTGCACGTTTCTGAGAGATTTTGATATAGATTTTAGTTCCATGTAAGAGAACCCGCAGCAATGTGAGATTTTCAGAAGTCACAGAATGGTCTCCAACATGACCAAGACAGGCAAATTATTCCAAGCCTTTTTGTGCACTAATGGATGAAAACAACTCTGCTTATACAATTTCTTAGCATCGCAAAAGCGCACAATGAAGTACATTCAATGCCTGACATGTAAAGAGACAATGCATCGAAGGCAACAAAAACATAGAGTTACTTCCATTTCTCACAATAAATGCAGCTCGTTTCTCGTCTTCACACATATCTTTTCTCTTTCTCTCTTGACCTCTTTTCTTTCATTTTTACATATCTCTCGCCTTTTTTCTCCCACTTTTGTCATTCATGGGAAGAAAAAAATCTATAGCGTAGCTGTCCCTGGTCATTTCTGTTGATTTTTCTTCTCAGCTTTTCACGATAAGTATGACATTTACAGCTTTTTGTGACGTCAGCAGCGAGAGAGAAAAAGGAGAGTTTCCAAATTTCAAGGGACTCATTCGACTTGATTCTGAAGAGTCTTGTAAATGAGCATGGGTTTGGTCTTAACTGTAATCATGCCGCCAGATTTCTAGATATGCTGAGGCAGAAAGGAAGTCCACTAATGAATCAACAAACAAGAGTTTTCTATATTTCTTGTTTTTTTTAAATTCCCAATGAAACGTAAGGCAGATTTATGAATTTGCGTCAGAATTCAAACTCAACTTTTAAGAGTAAAGTGGGAATAGGTTTAATTTTTTTGCTCTGACTTTCGAGGAATAGCTTTGTGTCCTTTGGGCAGAATCCCACTCTCTCTTTTCTCTTCCACACGCTATCCATTCTCTCCCCTGTTCTTGCTCGCTCTCCCTCTCTCTCACGCTCTCTCTCTCTTTCTCTCTCACTCTTTTTCTCTCTATCCACCCCTCTCCCACTCTCTCTCTCTCTTTCTCACTCTAATGCCAACACATATTGTCAACAGAAGATGCAGAAATTTACCATTATTCTTATAAAAATCAGTTTAAATGCAAACTATTTTCCTCAATAAATTACATTTATTTTCCCCCAGCTAATAGAAATAATAAAAGAAAAACCTGAAAAAAGTCAAACAGAACTTACCTCCCTCTCCGTACTAGTGACAACTCCTTCTGAAAATCAAACAAAAGCGGAAAAAGTGATTACTTGATTTGCAACTAAAATATCTTGTCATGTAGCCACTGTAGTCATCCACACACATGGATTATACATGTAGATCAATATGATTTAAAGAAATCAATCAACTCTTTTAGCATTTTAACTTAAATTCAAAGTTAGGATGTTAGTCAATATTTCTACAGCCTTGAATTCTGGTAAAATTTAGAATTCTCCATGAAAACGAAATGGAGATCACAAAGTTTTGTTTTAAAAAAATTATTTATTTGGGATATGTTTGACTTCTTAGTGGATTACAAATCACATTAAGAAGATGTATTTATTTTTCATTTCTCCTTCTATTTACCAATACTGCACTCCATATTTTCCTTTATTTGTTTGAAACATACCACTCCTAATGGTTCGATTCATTTTCTTATGTCATAGCTCAAAATAAATGTAAAGAATAACACTAAATGGTCTTTCACACGCATTGCACATTAGCCTGTAATATTCCCACAGGAAACCAAGGTTGAAAGTAAGGTGAATGGAATCGGAGGAAAAAATATGGAGATAACTTTCCACACTGAAGGAAACTATATAATGTCATTATCATTTACTGAGAGACAGAAGGGAGTTCCGTCTATGGAGAGTACTACAGTGAACACCCTTCTGGCTCTCAACAGATAAGACCATTATCAGATGGAGGGAAAAACCATATCCTGAGGATTTCCCATTTGTGATAGGGATAGGAAGTGTTGCAATGACCAGTAATAACAATCAGAACTACTTCTATCGTGATGGAATTTCATTGATGTTTTGTCATGTTCATTTTTTCCCAATAGATTTCACAATACAATGTTTCATTTTCATAAATGAGCTAATATGAGATTGATGAAGAAAAAATATCATTACTGGGACATGATGTACAGCCACAGACACACTGAAGTCAATGTACAATACATGTTGATGCTTGAATTGCAAAATTGCGAAAAGGAAAAACAAATATTGATAACAGGACAGCCAGACGGACAAATAATTACATACAGATAGAAGGACAGATAAATGAAAATCAACATTAGGTAAGGTTAAAGGATGGATAGATGGAGACATGAAACATTAAACAGCTATTAAACAGATCCCTTCAAGATAATCCACAGATAGGATGGTCACAGAAGGACAGACAGAAGGTAAAGATAATTTATGGACTTATAAGAATACTATGTGAGAGTCAATAGTAAACACTTTTTTTTATAGCTCTCAACAGAAAAAATACATGTTAATCATCTGTTCTGAGCAAGAAGGGCATTGATTCAAATGCTGTATCACATAGCACCTTGTGGCTCTGCACAGATGAAATGTAGTTAATCATATGGAAAAAGAATTTGTCACAAATTCTGTAGGATGATATGAACATGTATGGTAAATATCTGTACCTGAGCATTTGTATTTAACAGTTTGCATGACCTCAAGGTTGTGTTATAGGACCATTACTTTTCAGGAAAGGTTGGCAATCATAGACTGTTTACATTACAATGACATTGATAGGAGTGTGTGTCCATGTTGATCATGTTCCTTCCTGTATGGTCTACATGGTCATGTCTGATTGGTAATTTATAATCCTCACATTAATGTCATTGAGATGAGATAAGCATAACATAGAAGATGCAGGGAAGGACATAGCCAGTCTTTTAAAAACAGACCTCAAATACTGACGGTACACCTAAAAACCCGACACAACTATTTGAAACAGAAGACATCCTAAACTTGAGACATACTCAGCTGCAATAAACATAGAATCTAAATAGGTTATGGTGAAATAAAACATTCAGGGGAAAAAGATTATGTTCTCGTGGTTAGAGCTCCTTGTCCCATCGTATCACCAACATTTAACATCTATGCAGACATTTCTCATGTACAATTATAGGATAAATCTCATGAAATGTTACTGTAATTTGAGTTAGGGTAAGGTATCAGCCGCTGTCAGTGAAAAAATACACGGGGCTCGGGGCGAATAGCCCCCAAAATGCCCAAAAGAGCCTCCGAAAATCAGAAAAGAGCCCCCATAAATTTGCATAGAGTTCAATGCAAAACAAATTTTAGAGTGTTATTTTTATGCAAGGGAGCTTGAAAAGTAGCCCCCCCCCCCCAAAAAAAAATAGATATTAATATTTTCCCTGGCCACTGTACATGTATATCAGTTTACACGTACCATAAAAAGTACTCAATCAGTGTCCTATTCATATGCTTGTTTGTTATGTTGTTTGTTTGATTGCATCTCTCTTGTTGTTATACATGTAAGTGGAAGTTTAACTAGTCAAATAATTCTTTTTTCTAATCTTACAAAATTCAAAACTCAGACGACAAAAGAAATTTGTTATTAAAGATGTGGTTGTTATTTGTCAAAGAAATTATCAGCTGATGCCATTTATCATGATGAAGATGATGAAGATGACAATAATGAAGATGATGGGTGTTACTCAAAACATGTTCCTACAGCACATGTATACATCTACAATGAATACATACTAACCCCAAAAGGAAGATGTGAAGGGGGAAAAGAAGATCTTTTCTTTACCTTGCAAGCAAAAATAAACTATATATTATATATATAAATCTCTAAGTCACCATGTAAATAGTGAAGAGAGTTAATTTAAGCAGATTTAATTTCAATAACAGGGATGAAATTCTGTAGGAATTCCTGCAAATTGGTGCAATTGAAAGTACATTTGTCTTTTTTTATTCATTTTTGAAGACAACATAAATTGTCATGGTCCCATGAAAATGAATTATTGTTGCAACATCTGCTTGATCCTTGCAATTATTCTTCCTTCAATACCATTATGCTTTTTCTGACAACATCAAGCATCTGAAAACCACAGAATAAATCAGCATAACCACACTACAGTTTCTCAAAATTGGATGATATTTGGCTTTGTTAAAAGGGTAGAAAAATCACTTTTACATGCTTTTACAACTTAAGCATTAAAGAATACTTATTCATGTACATGTAGGTTTGCTAATACACACACGAAAAGTAGTTAATTTGATTTAAGTAAGAAACGTAGATGTTGCATGCCAGAGATTACATTGTGGCACAAAATATGTAGGGATGGTTTACAACCTACTGGTCCTATGCCCTATTGGTCTTACTTGCTAACACAATTCTTTCTGTAGTTTACACCATTTGGCCTTGTTCACATGCGGCACAGTATACTGCGGTGGGTTACCATAGTATATGTGAACAAGCCTTTAGGAGTATAAGAAGTTAGGCTTACAGTGTATGGTAGTGCTAATTCAAACATTAAACCTAACCCTAACTACAACTACAACCTTAGAAATAATCCCAACCATACGTGTATACTTATGTGCAAATGTGGAATCAAAGTTGCTTAGGACCAGTAGAGCGTCTCCTGCAAATGGGACATTCAAATGTGAAGAGATCAATTTTCTTGCTACTCACCAAACTAGCTGATAGTGAAGGTGCAGACTGGCCTAGCAGAGGCCTCATCCTGGTAAGATTGCTACCAGAATCCCCTCCTAAGGTCAAGGCATTGGTTGTACTTGACTGATAGCCGGTGGAACTCCCTACGCTCAAGTGGAACGGTCCCATCATTGCTGCTCCCAGACTACCGCGCCTGACATAGCGACTCTCATCGATGGAGAGGGGGCGGGCTAGTTTGAAACCGCGGGGTAAGGATGTGGCGAATCCAGCGCTCTTTGGTTTGGGGCTATGCAGTGAGTCGAGGGTCAGTCTGCCGCAGTCTTCACCATCAGACTGCACAAAAAGGGGGAAAAAGGATGTAAAATAATGATTATTTGTCCCGGAATCGGTGCTTAATTGCCTGGAAATGCAGAAAAGGTTGTGACCTTTATGAATGATTCTTTAGCCTTCCGATGTTAACTCATCAAAGGGATATCCAATACTGCACTTCCTAAGCATGAAATTCGAAATATATATATCTCACAAACGATATCATTTCTTCTGACTTTAACCTTCAATATTTATGCAGGTACACACTGTAATCTCAGATAATACATAAACCTCATTAACACTGCCAACAATTGTTATCCTTGAATCCAAACAATTAATCGTCAGTTGAGAACAAGAAGGGAATTAACTCTGTGTAAAATGATAAAACTCAACGTCCTTCTAGCTCTCAGTTAATGAAATGTAAGTTGACTTAATTCATCATGTGACACAAAGCTACTGCTACAAAAAGAAAAAAGAATATTCATAATACATTCCCTCCCCCCCCCCCCCCAAGCCAACAATCCTAGAATCTGGGAGTCTTGTATAAAATGCTGTCCGATGAAGATGTGGAATAATTGGTAAGAGATATTACCTGTAATATAAGAGATCAATGTCACAATGTAATAGCTACAATGTCTCTATTATAAATTCCCGCTGTATGGTATTGCAGTTCACATTGAAATCAGGCTGAAATCAATCGACGATATTTTCCTCCACTCGACACATCAATTTTCAAAACACTGTAGGCTACTATGGTATAGAGTACCTTTAATAGTACATCTATTACAACTTTCAATTTAAGTAGGACATGATTATGTAGGAGTAATATGTTAACATGTATACTGTACATGTGTACTGGTCTGCTTTATACAATTTATTACATGTACATTATGTGTGTGTGTCAGGAGAATTTGTGCACATACTATTAACTTTGGTCCATATTGGTGCACAATGAATGTATTCTTGGAATCATATATATATATATATATATAAACCTTTCATTTACACTACTGCAAAGATGGTTGAATGAAATGATTTGGAATTAGGGAACATTCCTTCTTCCCGTTCTCAGTCTTATAATAGCTACTGACAGGAGCTGATAACTATTAATTATCACCTTCCATCATTAGCAGATATCTCCCATTTCATTATTTGGTAATTCTAATAATATACCCTATCCATTCTTAAGTATCCATTTCCTACTGTCCTCTGATTACCAATAAAACTAAACTAAATTACAATGAAAAAGATTATCACATCATTACAGATGGTATGTACCACTTTAAATGTCTAGTTCATTATGAGCAATAAATCTTGTCTCGAAACCGCTCTGCATGACCGCTAATAGCACTTTGACATTTATTATCCCTGGTTCATGAGAAACTCAGACAGTGATTAATTAATAAGATTGAAAGTGATTTCTCAAGACCCGGGACTATACACCGCATAAGAAAATAAGAACACTGTTAAGATGTGGGACGGGTTCGGACTTTATCAACTCCAATGTAGAAAGAGTCTTTCTGATGGCTGTAATCTAATATTAAACATAGAAGGGAGATACTGCAAGTTAAGAATAAACATGGTTTCAGATTCCCTGCATCAAAGATTATATACATTAAAAGATTGCATTTAATTTGTTAGCTTTAGCTATACTATGACCTTATTTCACTTCATGTGTTACTGATATTGTAGAAACTACCAATCAAATACCAAACATCCAGATATAATAATGATAATACTCTGGGTTTATATAGCAATAAATTCATATATATACGATATCTAATTACGGCAAATTTATAAGCTCAAATTGTAAAGGCCACTATAATATGAGACAGGACCATTAATTTTGTCTGGGTTTGTGATGACACGCATTATAAAGGTAGATTGCTGAAAACAAATGCTAAAAATGCTCATTATATTATTTTTAATGGGAGGGAGGGGGAGGGTCTTTATAACATTTACGGTTCAAAGAACAAAGATCGATGCAAACAGAATACCAGAAGGAACACAGTTTGAACAGATGCACAGAGAGGATGTGAAACACGTACATGTATGGTAGAAAACATGTTTTCTTGCCCTCATTAGAAAAAGTATGTCAACATGCACTTGGGCACACATTGCATGTTGAGCGCAAAAAGGTGATAAACTCAATGTTGAGGGATATGAGATAGCACTCTTCTTGCTCTAGGAGGATAACTACATGTAAATACAGGTGTTGTCAAATGAGGCAAGGGGATATTACATAGTGTATCTATAAAAAGGAATTACATCATGATGCCTCAATCTTTGCAATTTCAGTGTATCTGTGAACAAGAATTACGTCATGATGTCTCAATCTTTGCAATTTCAGTGTATCTGTGAAAAAGAATTACTTCATGATGCCTCAATCTTTGCAATTTCAGTGTATCTGTGAAAAAGAATTATGTCATGTCTCAATCTTTGCAATTTCAGTGTATCTATGAAAAAGAATTATGTCATGATGTCTCAATCTTTGCAATTTTGCATTTCATTTGTGAACAAGAAGGGCATTATAACTCTATTTAAAAAAAAAAATGAGTTAATGTCCTTGTGGCTCCAACCAGATGAGATGTAAATTCAGAATATAACACCATACCTCACAAGCACAAAGGTGCACAAATCACTGACAGTTGTCATGACTGAATCTGAATATCTGCATTTTGATCATTTAATAGCATTCCCATCAAATAAAAGTAAACATCTATGAAATTTGCATAAAGTACTCTTATTTTGGATAACAAATGAAAAGCATAAGACCTTTTTGTATTCAATTAATGTTCTCACATATTAAAGGATGAATGTGCCCATGTGAAGTGGGCTAACCTACAGAACAAGCTTAATGTTTGGATGATTGGCTTTAAGCTTTAATAGATGATTAAGTGGTGAGACAGACTCTTTGACATTAATTTAGATTCAATTAAATTAAGGGTTGAGGAAGGGGGCATGTGCATGTACACAGAATACAAATTAACATGCAAGTATGCACTGTAAAGGTATTAACCATCAAAGAATAATACCAATCAATAAACACAATAAAAATGCCGTTCTCAAGGATGACAAAGACGACCCCCCCCCCCCCCCTTCACATCTTTGACGATGATAAAATCAAAATACTATTACCCAATATCCATGATACAAAACTATGTTCATACCCGCTGGCTGAACTTCATCAAGCACTTAGTTTTCCCTCTCTGTAAACTTTAGTCTTCATATTTTCATGATGTACGAATTTCCGGAAATAATGTATGCGTGAGCACCCATTACATTGCAATATCAAGGTATACATCAATACATTTCCGGCTCTTCACTAGCCTTTCCTATCATATGCTCTGTCCCATCTTCCATTATCTTTATCTGTGTTTATCATCATCTAGATACATCTATTTGATCTATTCATGCATCTGTCTCCTTCTCTCAATCTCCCTTCCAGCACCCCTCTCCCATTCTATCTCTCTCTCTCTCTCTCTCTCTCTCTCTCTCATTCTATCTCTCTTCATCCCCATCTCATTTCTTTTTTCTCTCCTCTTCCTCCCTCTTGTCATCCTAATTCTCTCTACACTTTAAAAAAAGAATACATAATCGTATTATGTTCAATTTACATCTCTTTCTTGTATCTCATTTTCCAGATATTTTGTTAACTTATTTAGTAGCAGGATGGACGGTAGACGATATAAGTTAGGAAGCGCATTGGTTAGATTCATGGAATAGGTAAACTTGATATATCAAATGCTTTAAAATGGCATCCCATTCCCTCTGATGCATGTGGGTGTATTAATTGAAACCACATATTCCAAAGAGATAGACGAGACAGTTACTTATCCCGGAGGATCCGCCTCGGAGCCATTTGGTGAAAAACGTTCCCTTCTCTTTCCCCCTTGAGCATGTAATTAGATATAGGTTATTGTTTGAAAGACAAAGTTGTTTACCAGACAGTGTTATCAATCCTGTCAATGCCACACCTGATATCACAGAGTGACAGAACGGATGGGGCATGTGTAACATGAAGACAAACACAGCATCCAATATATGGGGCTACATACACGCAGAGAGGGGGAAGATGGTATAGAAATATATGCCTAGGGAAATGAGTCAATAACTATTGTTCTGCAGGCTTCAGGCCCTCTGCCAATTATGATCATTTACAAAAATTCTTTTCCTTAAGTTCCTCAGGTAGATCTTTCTTACGTCAAAGGCGACTGGCTGAATTTCTAGATCGAATTTTAGGAATTTAGCTCATATTTTCGAGATGATTGTATTACTTGTCCACATGCAAACGCCAATAATGGTTTAATGAGTTCAAGTTAAACGTCATTGACTCGATATATGTACGTCAGTAATCAGTCAATTTATAAATTTGTGTCATGCATGTTTTCATTTTTACTTTACCTACCAGTATTCACACAATGACTTTGATAAAAAGCTAAAATTCGCCAAATCAACGCCCCATTTGCATTCTTATTTTTTTTTAATTCAAATGAATTTACAAATCACTGAAAAGCTCACACAGTATTATTGACAGAGAGTAATAAACTACTACATTACCACATATCTTTCATGTACATGTATAGTGTTTAGAGGGTAATGTACGGTAATGCCTAACCGGTACCTGTATTTCTGATAAAAAATAAATGGTAAGGACGATCGACATTTTTTTTTTCTTGATCTAGTTCATGATCTAATATGGCAGAAAAAATGAGACTAGAGAGGATGTTCATGTACCAGCACATACACATGTATAGCATTATTAAAGGAACATTGTTTGCCTTGAATCTAGGTTAAGGGCACATTGCAAGCTCAGCTCCGTGCACAAAGGAGAACAGATCGAAGGCGGACAATATGGAGAGACGGGAGAGACGGGGGAGCTGAACTCATGTTACGCTGTGTGACATGACTCATAAGCTGTGTTCATATTACAGATGTATGCATCTTTAGGAGAATTATTGTGACTTTTTGGTTTCATAAAAGCTTGATATTCAACAAGTTGACAGGCTTGTTCACTTCAAATG